TTTGGGAGGCTGAGGCGGGCAGATCACAGGGTCAGGAGATCCAAGACCATCCTGGCTAACACAGTGAAACCCCATCTCTACTAAAAATACAAAAATAGCTGGGCATGGTGGTATGTGCCTATAGGCCCAGCTACTTGGGAGGCTGAGGCAGGAGAATTGCTTGAGCCTGGGAGGCAGAGGGTGCAGTGAGCCAAGATCATGCCATTGCACTCAGCCTGGGCAACAGAGTAAGACTCTATCTCCCAAAAAAAATAAATAAATAAATAAAGACCTTGCATCTCTTGGCTAAGACCTTACCTGTCTTCGTTGGTATCACAGACATCCCCCACCAGGTCGCTGTCTGCATCTGTCTGAGAGAGAGGGACCTGTTCTCACCATCTTCTCTTGATAACTCAAGAGGGTGATCTGACCATTTCCCATCCAAAGGGCTGGGGCTTCATCGACCAGTATCCTCATCCCTCCCCTGCCCTTACCATCCCCCTGTACCTGGGTAGGATTGCTCATTTCAGGGCAGCTGTCACAAGCATCTCCCACCCCGTCCTCATCCCTGTCTGTCTGTAGTGGGTTGGGGACTTTAGGGCAATTGTCCAATCCATTGGGGATGCCTAGAAGACATGGGAAGCACATGGTTATTACCAGAATATGCCATACTCTCTCTTCTAGGTTGGTGAAAGTCCTGAACTTTTTCTCAGGACCCACCCAGAGGACAACTGGTCAGGAAATCTGCCTGTTTCTTGTCTCGCCCTCTAGGCCACACTCTGCCTAACGCTACACCCTACCTCACATTCCCACTGACATCTGCTGCAGATCATCTCTCCTCACCCAGGCCAACTTCCACAAGCCTGCCTCCCCAATTCACAGAGACTTCCTAGCTTCCCTGCTTCATCCCCACCTGATCCAAATTCTTACAGGGCCCCCAGCCTCCCCTTCAGCCCCAGGCCTGCACCATCCCCATCCACATCGTTGTCACAGGCATCTCCTTCCCCATTGCCATCTGTGTCCTTCTGATCATTGTTGGGAACGTTGGGGCAGTTGTCACAGGCATCACCAAATGAATCCGTATCTGAGTTCTGCTGGTCCTTGTTGGGGAACAGCCGGCAGTTGTCCTGGGCAGAGGGGTGGGAGGGGAAGAGTCAGCACCCCTAAACCACTTGTCATCTTGCACCTACCTTTCACTGTAGCCTTTTCTAAGATCACAACCTTGTGATGGTCAAACTGCTTGGCACGGTCCCACCCGCCCAACCTCCTTGTCCTGGGCACAAGGTTTTTGCCTCCCTAATTGGGATATTGGGCCCTTCCTAGAGAGCTGCCAAAGGAGGTAAGAAAGGCACTGAGAGGACAGGAGCAGAGTAGAGGAGCTTCCAGTGGGCAGGGCAGTCTGAGAGTCACCTCAACATTCTTGATCCCATCCCCATCAGCATCATCATCACACTGGTCCCCCACGCCATCATTATCAGCATCTTCCTGCCCAGAGTTGGGCGTCAAAAGGCAGTTGTCCTAAAGTTCAGAGGAAAAGGATGAGTTCTGCCTGACCCAGCCTGGGCTCCCCGCAGCACTCCCTCGCCCACCTGCCCCCTGCACCTGTTTGCAGTGTTTGTTGTTGTCCATGCAGGGCAGTGCTTGGTCTGGGTAGCCATCGATGTCTGTGTCAGTCCCGCATACGTTCCCGTTCCCAGCCCAGCCCACGTTGCACTGGGCAACATAAAGGGTAGGAGCTAGCAGTTTGGGCCGGCTCCCCTCCTCTATTTTCCCTGCTTCAGGTTCTGTCTCCCCACCAACCAGTTCCCTGGGCCCAGGCCCTAAACAGAGCCCTACCCCTTCCCCCAGACTCCCCTTTTCCTTCCATGCCTGAAGCCTAGCTCACCTGGCAGGACACTGCACCATTGCGTTCAAAGAGACAGTGAGCATGGATGTGGCAGGGGCTGTGGGCTGGGCTGTGGCAGGTCCGGGCTGGGAGGCAGCCCTGGCTCTGGTTGCCCAGGAAACCCAAGCGGCAGGGACCACACTTGAAAGAGCCCTAAGAGTGAAGCGGCAGCGTCAGGAAGGAGCCCACCAGGCACCCAGAACCAGCCCTGCCCCACCTTCGGGGTGTGGGCTGGGCATTCAGCTATGTCAGGCGTAGCAGCGTCTCCGTTAGGTTCTCATGACAACCTTCCAGGGTGGGTAACAGCCCCAGTTTTCAGATGACAAAGCTGAGGCTCAGAAAGGTTAAATAATATGCCAAAGAGCTAGCAAGAGGCAAACCAGTATTCCAAACCAAGTCCGTGTGAACACCTAATCTGTGCAGTGCCCTGCGGAGGAGGAAGGGCAGCGGGAAATCTGAAGGTAAAAAGGGGTGGGGGGTGGGGTTTTACCATTCCCATCACCCCAGAATACTCTCAGGGTATTCAGCTCACCACAGTGTTAGTGCAGATGGAGTTTGGGTCACAGCCACCATTGTTGCCATCATTGCATTCATCGATGTCATTGCAGACCTGAAGGGGCAGACTTTGGGTGGAACCAGACCTATGGTGGGTCTCCTCAGATACAGCAGAGGGCACTGGTATGGCCTTATCTGTGAACATCAACATTAAGCCCAGACCCAAAGCCGATGCGAAGCCATCCCTGCCCCGTACATCACAAGGGTCCCATGTCCAACCCAGAAGCCCCTGGCCTCTACAAGGCCAAGATCCCTTGTCCACACACATTACCCAGTCTGACCTGTTTGCTGGCCCGGGCATAGTCAATGCCTACACCAGACACCTGTATGCCCTTGTACCCTCGAGGACAGGCCTCACAGTGGAAGCCGGGCATGGTGTTGATGCAGCTGGAGCCTGGGAAACACGGGTCAGCGTGAGCACACTGGAGACCAGACGAGAAGGCAGAGGTCAGGCTGCCCTCTGGGAAACTCAGGCCCCCGCCTGTGATCCAAGAACCATTGCTCCAAGTCTCTCCACACAATCGCCTTGAGCTCCTGGTCCCCACCCCGCCTCCCTTGGGGTTCCCTGGCTCCCTCTCCAAGCCCCTGGTGGCCATCTCAAGCCTCCCCTGCCACTTCCCAGCTCCTTCCCTGTGTGGCCTTCAGTCTTTGCCCCGGGCCTTCTGTCTCTCCCATCTTGCATTTTTCTTCTTGTCTCTGACTGCTCCTAAACTCTAGATTCCTCTCCTCCAGACCAGCATTTATCCCACCCTCTTGGGCCCCTCCTGACGTCCTCACCCCAGTTTTCTTTACCCTTCTGGGCTCTGCCCTCCCCCACCTCATTGATGTCACTGCAGTGGGTGCCGTTGCCCTGCAGGCCGGGGGGACAGGGCCCACAGCGGTAGCCTGGGTACTCGTATACTTCCATGCAGTCCACGCCTCGGAAGCAGGGATTGGGGCTGCAGTGGGAACGCTGCTCATGGAAGCCTGAGGAGTGGACACAGTCAGAGCTACCCGGTGGTCACCATTTAAGCCACCAGAATGGGACGCTGAAGTCATTGGGTAGGGAACATGGCAATGTCATCTGGAGCCTCCCCTACACTCCCACTCACCGCACACCTGACACTCCATGATGGTGTTTCGGATCAGGGACATTTCCTTCACCTGGGGAAGGATGGGGAGGAGTCAGCACTTGGCATCTGCCACCCCACCCCAGAATCAGTGCCACCCTTCACTGGCCCACCCGAACCTGGTCTCGGATATCATCCCGCAGCTCCACCAGGATCTGGTTGAAGAGGGTGAGTTGGGTGACCAGCGCCTTGGTCTGCTCCCCTGTCAGGACCCAGGGTGTGAGGGGCTCAGTAGTGGGGTACCAGTCCAGGGCCCTTTGTAGGCAATAAGCCAGCACCTGCCATGGCTGCCCACCCCTGCCTTTAAACCTGCTACATTCTTGACTGAAGAGGACTTAGTTTGAGGCAGCTGCCAGAGCCTGGGGTCTCCTCCCCCCTTGCCCCTTCCGCTCCAGCGTGGCCTACTCACCTAGAATGGAGTGCAGTGCATTGCTCACTGGAGAGAAGAAAACAGAGTCAGAGGGGTGAGGTGATATGAAGAGAGGCCTGGCTGGTGAGGAGGAAGGAAGGCAGGGACAGGGCTGGAGCCTCAGAATAAAGATGGGGTGCTGAATGGTGGGAGGGTAGGGCTGGCAGGCAAGCAGTGCTAGCTCCTTCCACAGGGCCAAGGACCCTCTAAGGGAGCTGCTTCATAGGAAGTCAAAACCCAAATCCTCCTGGTTCCTAGGAATGGGAGTGGCAGAAGGGATGGACCCAAAGCAGGGCCAGGGCCTCAGTACATTCCATTCCCCCCAACTTTTTTTTTGAGACGGAGTCTCGCTCTGTTGCCCAGGCTGGAGTGCAGTGGTGCCATCTCAACTCACTGCAACCTTTACCTCCAGAGTTCAAGCCATTCTCCCACCTCAGCCTCCCGAGTAGCTGGTACTACAGGCACCCACCATCATGCCTGGTTAATTTTTTGTATTTTTTAGTCGAAATGAGGTTTCATCACATTGGCCAGGCTGGTCTTGAACTCTTGACCTTGAGTGATCTGCCCACCACAGCCTCTCAAAGTGCTTGGATTACAGGCGTGAGCCACCACACCTGGTCATCCCCTTCCCTTCAAGTGCTCTCTCTCTCTCTGAACTATCTGGGAAAGATGGGTATTTGATTTAGGTGAGAGCTTCTGAACACCCCTGCCAGAGAGACCAGGCAATGGGTAATGCTCAGAGGAATTGCTGGTGACATCTGCCAGTGAGAACTAAAAAAGACTCAAGACCAGGCCAGGTGCGGTGGCTCACGCCTGTAATCCCAGCACCTTGGGAGGCCAAGGTAGTTGGATCGCTTGAGGTTAGGTGTTTGAGACCAGCCTGGCCTACGTGGTAAGACCCTGACTCTATTAAAGTTATAAAAATTAGCTGGGCGTGGTGGTAGGCACCTGCAATCTCAGCTACTCGGGAGGCTGAGGCAGGAGAATCACTTGAACCTGGGAGGCGGAGGTTGCTGTGGCCCAGAGTGCACCACTGCACTCCAGCTTGGGTGACAAAGCAAGACTCTGTCTCCAAAAAAAAAAAGACTCAAGACCAGTATCTCTTAGCCAAGACCAAGCAATTAACTTCTTTCTCTCCCATCCTTTCCAGAGTTCCTCAGTGATATTCCTCTCTGGGATTGCTTTGTTTTTTTCTGGGATGGCTGTACTGGAGATTGTGGAGTCAGGTGGAAGATTTGGAATAACAGGGTTAGAAACCCCAGGAAGGTGAGCCAAAGGAATGGGTGTTGAGAGGGAGGTTGAGAAGACAGGATTCACCAAAGGCCACAGGACCTGTGGTCCAATGTCAGCAAACAAGTCTGTGTTACCTGCACTGTGGATGGACTCGTCCCCTTGGAATGGACACTCACTCAGGGCTCCTACCCGGGCCATGGACCCACCCAGAATAATTTTCATAGATTCCACAAAGCCCTGGGGGGGATAGCAGCAGAATAAGGTGGGAAGGTCTACCAACCCCTTCCCCAACTGGTGCAAACTCTATTTCCACAGAACTCAGAAGCTCCTCCTGGCTCACCTGCATCCTCAAATAAGCCTTCTGTCCAGTTCTAATCTCCAGCCCATCGACCTCCGCTGGAGGAATGGGGGCCAGTGCTGGAAGGCCTGCGTGTTGGTCACCCAGTTTGCAGTCCACATAGAGATGTAGGGCAGGGCTGGCTCTGGAGGGGCCTCGGAGTCGCAGGAGAACTGTGTGTGTGCGCCCATCGGCCAGGCCTGCTTGCTGTAGGTTCACGGCATGGACTTTGCCATCCTCCCGCTGGTACCGCACCAGTACTGCCCAGGAGGGGAGATCAGTATGGGCACTGTCCTCCCATCCCCTGCCTCCCAGTTGAGCCTTGGATCAACTCTGCTGGATACATCTCTAGAGCCCCCATCCCTAATTCTACTATGTAACTCTCAACACCTTGTATGTAATAGGTAGACAATAAATGTTTTTCAAATTGGTTCAGAGGCCGGGCGTGATGGCTCATGCCTGTAATCCTAGCACTTTGGGAGGCCAAGGTGGGCAGATCACCTGAGGTCAGGGGTTTGAGACCAGCCTGGTCAACGTTTGAAACACTGTTTAATTTTTTATTTATTTATTTTTTTTATAGTTTCTTTCTTATCAAAAACCAGACAAAACGCTGTTTCTACTAAATTACAAAAATTAGCCAGGCTTGGTGGTGGGTAGCTGTAGTCCCAGCTACTTGGGAGGCTGAGACAGGAGAGTAGCTTGAACCTGGGAGGCAGAGGTTGCAGTGAGCTGGGATTGTGCCACTGCACTCCACCTTAGGTGACAGAGTGAGATGCCATTTAAAAAACAAAAACAAAAACAAAAACAAAAAAAACTGGTTCCCATATAGTCTAGCAGTTAGGATTCCTGGTTTTCACACAGGTGGCCCAGGTTCGACTCCTGGTATGGGAACCAAAATTAAAAAAATAAAATAAAAATAAAAAATTGGTTTGGAGACTAAGACTGTCTTAGCCTTCAGTGGTATCAGATGACTCTATCCTCTCCTAGGGTGACAGCTGGTTTTGTGCCCACTGAACTGTGCCAGGGATCTGAAGTACCTTTCTGTATCACTGCTGAGGCAGAGACATGCCTCACCCTCCCTCCAGGCATCCCAAGTACAACCCATCCCTATAAATACCAGGCCTCAAGCTTCACCCTATTGTTTGGTACCTGGCCTCTTAAAGCACCTTGTAAGCACCCCATACCAGATGCCACTGATGTCTGGACACAGCCAGATGGGACCATGGTCCCCAGTGAGGCCAAGGAGAATTAGGAAGCACTTGGGAAGTAGGGATGAGGGAAGAGTGCTCAAGGGGGTCACCATTGCAGGAAAGGAGATGCCCACCAGTCACCTTTGTTGATCTTGCCTACAACAGAGGCCTCCAGCCATCGTGTGTTGTCTTGGCGCGAGTAGAGGCCAAAGAGGACACCACCCTGCTTGGGGGGCAGGCGGAAGGTAGACAAGAGGTAGATGTCCCCAGCAGTGAGCAAGGCTGTCCGGATCTTCTCTGCCACAGCCACCATCTGCCGAGACTCGCCCACAGTCAGCAGGTCAATTACTGGTCAGGCAGGGGTTGTCAAGGTTAGAGACTGGGATCAAATGCTAAGGTATGCCCTCCCCTGAGCCCACATCACCCCCTACCCCCACCACCAGGCAGCGTTAGTCACCTCAAAACTCAACTCTTGTTCTCAGAGGACAAAGGCACTGTGCCTTCCTTTCCCCATTATTGCCTACTACCACCTTCCAGGAACCTGCAGGCTTGAGGCTCACTTAGAAACAGAAACAGCACCCCACAAATTTGAGATGACTCCACCAGGTGGCGCAAGGGAGATGCTGTGCTGATACCCCGCAGGAGTGGCACCTGGTGCCCACAAGGCACAAACAGGAGGCAGCTTCTCTTTCCACTGCTGGATTTGGCTCGTTCCACACCCTAGTGTCCCTACTCCCATCCTAAAGGCACATCACAATCTCGCTGGATAAGAACAGCTGCCCACTGAGGGCTCTGACCCTCCCACCATCTGGGCTCTGTCCTGTGGGAATGTAGGACCCAGCTCCTCTGCCTCCTGTGTCCTGGCCAATCTGTGGTTTTCCCTCCAGCCAGTAAAGAATCTATGCCTGTGTCATCTGCTCCAGCTACCTCTCCCACACCCATGGGACCACCCCACCACCAGACCTCTGGGAGAGCCCAGCCTTCTTGGTCCCCACCCCCACCCTGTCCTTGGACACCCAGGAGCACAGGGGGATGAAGCCCAGGGACCTACACGGTACACCCACGTTCAGGCTGCTCTCCCAGACCCTGGGGTGTCTACAGATGTTCAGACACCACCCCAGCCAGGCAGTCTGAGCATCCAGTTCCTGAGTCCTCTGCCCTGGCCTCATGCCTGACCCTGGCCCGTTCTGACTCCCCCACTACCCTCTGGAGCCCACTCCTCTCCACCAGGCCATCATTTCACCAATTCTAGGCAGTCTAACGTTTTCCTCTGGCTCAAGTTCTGGACTCTTCTTCTCTCTCCTTGCCCACATGTTCTCTGCTACTTGGGCTGGGGGCAAATGGGAAAGAGGCAGAGTGGTCTAAGAGGATGGAGACAGGCTTACCCTGCAGGTCCTGACTGGCAGATGTGAAAGAGCAAAGGAGGAGAAGAGCCAGGGCCCCCCGAAGTTCCTGCGTCTCCATGCTGCTCAGCCGGCTCACTACCCCTGGCAGGCAGGCAGCTGGGAGGGGAAAAGGCTAGGCGGAGAGAGCAGGAGCCGGGGGGCGGAGGGACGGAGTCGGAGGGGGGGCCAGCAGGCGGGTGATGGGGGGGGGGGGGCTGAAACAAAGAGCTGCCAATCACCCTGCAGGCATCATCAGCTCTGGGAACCCGGGGCACAGGGAAAGTCCTGGAGGCCTCCCTGCCTCTTACCTCCCCCTAATGGTCCTCTCGCAGTTGCCTCCCTTTCCGCAGTCATCACACTGTTGGGGGTCTCAGCACACAGCGCTACCAAGTGCCACTGTTTTCTGGAAGCCACGACTGTGGAAGGCAAGAACGCCTACCAGGGGCAGTGCTAGACAGTGGGCATTATTCCACAGCTGGCAGGAAAGGATGCCAAGGGAGTGGCCAAAACTAGCTTGCTATAGTGCCCAGGAGGGATGCCCACATGGCATGAAGTTTGCTGTTCTGGCGGAGCAAGTGCTCTTTATTAGGGTGGGGGTCCCCTGACACGTGCCTGTTTCTCCATTTTCCCTCATTTCTAGGAAACTTTGGGAGTCTGGAAGCGTCTGACGGGAACTGGAGAGTCTAAAGCAGTGGTCAGTGAGGTCGGAGTGAAGAAACCAGGAAAGAGGAAAGGGACACCAGGGACAGGCACAGAAGACAGGGGGACAGGCCAGGAGCCAACGACCAGACTGTGGAACCCTGTAGGTACTAGCGGACGGTCCTTGACCCGGATAAAGCAGAGGGGCGCCTGAGTTCCCATTACCTAGGCAACAGCCTGCGAGCCTCCACTCTCCTCCCCTCCCCCACCCAGGCCCCAGTCCGGCGTCCGCTCCGGCCGCCGCCACCGCCCCTGTTTTGTTTCCATGGCGACAGGCGGCGCAGGGCCTGCTCCAAACATAACGCGCTGTGGAAAACATGCTGCTCGGGGGATCCCCCCTCCGCAGTCCCCGCTCTGGGACGAGCCCCGAGGGGCCCCAGAGCAGTACACGCCACGTGCAGTTTGGCAAGAGCCCCCAGACCTGGCCCAGGCGCACAAGACCCCGCTCTCCCGGGCCTGCCGCGCCGTCGGGGGTTCGGGACTCCACTCAGCCGAAGCGCCGTGACTTTCCGAGGCGCGCCTGGCTGACAGCGCTGTCCCGCTATGGGGCCCGCCTCTGGGTGGGCCGGCGGCCGTCCTTCCCTGAGGCCCGCGGCCCAGTCCCCCGCAGTGCGGTTGCCAGTCGAGCCAAGAGAAGCCTCACCTCCCCGGGGACTTCCCCATGCCCCCTGCCTGCCACGACCCGAGGGGCGGTGGCGGGGGGCGGGTCCGTGCAGGGGAGGGGAGGAGCACAGAAGGAAGTGTTTCCGGGACAGAGGGCGGGCAAGATGGCGGCGCCCATGGAGCTATTCTGCTGGTCAGGGGGTTGGGGCCTGCCGTCAGTGGACCTGGACAGCCTGGCCGTGCTGGTGAGGGGAGGCGCCTTGTTCACTGGGGAGGGGGCCGAACTAGCCGAGCATCCGAACTTTGTCAGGGCTACTCAGCACGGGCGCATTGGGAGAAACTGAGGCAGTCAAAGAGCGTACGTGGCCCCTATGGGCTCAATGCCCTGTGCTGCAGTTTTCTAGGTTTCATGCAGCAATGACAAGACGCCTGGTCGGGAGTTCAGGACATGGATTCTAGTCCTTGCTCATCCGTTAACTGGCTGTGTGACCTTTGGACGATTCTTTTTCTTCTCTGGGCGTTGTTTCACCATCCGGAGGTTTACTAGGCTGGACTATCTCAGGGACCTACTCTGGCTTGGAATTCTTGCCTCCTCCTCACTTAACAGCATTTACTGAGCCTATTGTTTGTTGGACCAAACGACTCACAGCCAGGCTCTGTAGAAAGAGCTTAGCAATCAGACAGACTTAGTTAGCTTCGTTTATTCATTCACTCCTGCTTTGGAAAGCATCTATTATACTTTTTCCAAATACTAAATATTGCCATGCAAAGATGAATAAAATTTGGTTCCTTCCCTTGAGTTTACACAAAGGCAGATAGGTAAGTAAGTAAATGTAAGTAAGTAAATATAGTAAAATATTCAGGTATAAGTAGGAACGGACCACAGATTGTGCCACAGAGGAGGGCATGATCAGTGCCTCCAAGAAGAGGGATACTTGTTAGGAAAAACTTCTGAGTATAAATGTTCACCAGGTAGATGACAGGGGAGGAGACAGAGGGAAGGATTTTCCTGACTAACATATAATCATGGACATGTCCATAATCTCTCTAAGCTCTGTGTTGTCCATTTGTGAAATAGCAGTGGTAGTATCTTCCCCTTTTTTTTTCTGGACTAGGATACTAAGCATAGGGCATGGCACATAGGTATTCAATAAATGTTATTTCTCTTCTTGATACCCCTTGTGGGGACCATGGCCCTGCCCTTCTGCCTTCTGCTTCATTCCCTGCAGACCTATGCCAGATTTACTGGTGCTCCACTGAAGGTGCACAAGATCAGCAACCCCTGGCGGAGCCCTTCAGGTACCCAGTATCCTTTGGGGGTGAGCAAGGGTGTGTAAAAGGGGAGGAGCACGAGATAGGCAGGAATGTGTTGCAAATATGTGTGAATAGGCAGCTAAGGGCCTGGTTGGTATACTTCTCTCTCAATGTCAGGAACTTTGCCTGCACTTCGGACCAGTCATGGAGAGGTCATCTCAGTACCACACAAGATCATCACCCACCTTCGAAAAGAGGTAGGTGGCTTGCATAGAGGGGGCTGCCAGTGACAGAAATTCAGTCAATTCTGTACAATACACATTTATTGAACGCAAGACATATGCCAGGCTAGATGCAGGTGACCCAGAGCATCAAGGAGCACACAGTCTGATGGCGGAGATACACACAATGTTGCTGTGATGTATTAAAGCAGTCGGCAAGAGATGCAGCTCAGGGCACTATTGGGGTATCCAGAAGTACAGAGTTTTCTGCCCGTCAGGCAGGAGGGAGAGGAGTACAGGCTGAAAGAGACCGGAAGACAGCAGTTGGCCTCTAATGGTGGGACTGGGAAGAGATTTCTTTTCTTTTAGAGATGGAGTCTCACACTGCTGGTCGGGCTGGAGTGCAGTGGCGCAGTCTGAACTCACTGTAACCTCTGACTACAGGGTTCAAGGGATTCTCCTGTCTCAGCCTCTGGAATAGCTGAGATTATAGGTCCCAGCCACCACGCCCAGCTAATTGTATTTTTAGTAGTTACGGGGTTTCACCAGGATGGCCAGGCTGGTCTCCAACTCCTGACCTTAGGATTCGCCTGCCTAGGCCTCCCAAAGTGCTGGGATTATAGGGTGAGCCGCCACACCCAGCCTGGAGAGAGATTTCTAAGGGCCACTTCCCTGTTTTCAGGGACTAGGTTGGGCTAGACATGAGGCTCAGGATGGACAAGGCTTAGAGCCAGGTTGGAGAAGTTGAAAGAGCATTGCTAGAGGAGTGGGCAGGCCTAGGCTATGCTCTTTACTCTGCCACTGACTGTGTGATCTTGGGCAGGCCACTTGACCTCTCAGGGCTGTGCACTCCCTTATTTGTAAAACTAGAGGGCTGAGCCGGCACGTTTTCCCAGGGTTCTTCTAGCACTGATGAGGGAAGAGGGAAGCCAGTGTCAGAATGGGACACTTCCTCATTTCTACTCTCCCAAAGGTTAAAGACCTGGGGAATTAATGCAGAGGCCTGGAAAGAGAGGATCCAGATAAAAGCCAAAGTTCCTGGCAGGGCCGCGGCCACTGCCCTGATTCCTTAGGTGTGAACAGAGCTTTTCCAGCTCTCAAAGTGTTCTAAATTATTTCCTAACACGGGTGGGCATTGAGAGAAAGAGATTTTTACCCCCCATTCCCCAAGGACAAACAGAGGCTCAGGGAGATTTAAAGATCATGCTCAAGAGGTTATCTGGGGACAAAGCTTACTCAGGATGTGGAGGGGGTGCTGAGAAGCAGGGACTGGAGCCTGGAAAGGTAGGGCAGGCTGAGACCTGGGGGTATGCGTGGAATGTGTATGTGGTAGTGGTGCCTGGGCCATGGAATGAAGTAGAAGAAACAGCCAAGAGCTGGGCACTGAGGGAACAAGCTGGGGGGCCCTGGGCGTGGGTTCCCTGGATCCAGGGAGTGTGAGGATGGCTTTCCCTGGTTCCTGAGGCAGGGACTGAGTCCCAACTGCATCTGAGCTCTGCTCTGCTAGCTTTGTGGTGTCTGGATTGGGGAAGTTACTGTTAGAAAGTTGCCGTCAGCAGGCGTCCTTCCAGCTTTCCATGGAAATTCTGGGAGCTGCTCCTAGTTTGCGGCCGGGCCTTCCGTCCTTCTCCCCAATGGACACAGGACCTTGACGGCCAGCGGGCTCCAAGGCCCAGGCCTTTTGCCAACAGCAACAGGCTACTGGCTGGGCCCAGGCAAGGGGGCCTTGGCAGGAAAAGTTCCTTGTTGTACCTCCACTACACTCAGAGGCCAGTGAGGGGGGTACCAGACAGGACTCCTTCCTCCCAGGTGAAGTGCCCCTGCAGCCCCCCAGTGTAGCCCATGGATGTTTCCTTTACAGAAGTACAATGCTGATTATGATCTGTCAGCTCGGCAAGGGGCAGACACCCTGGCCTTCATGTCTCTCCTGGAGGAGAAGCTGCTCCCGGTGCTGGTGAGTGTGCCCAGACCTCCCAGCATCCATGGCCAGCAGGGGAGGGGTTGGGTGCACACATACCCACACACCGGCTCAGGGCAGCATTCGGTGTCAGGAGCCCACCTTGAATCAGACAGGTGCACTGGCTCAGACCTGCCTGTTTCTTCATGCCTACTCAATCCAGGTACATACTTTTTGGATAGACACCAAGAACTATGTGGAAGTGACCCGGAAGTGGTATGCAGAGGCTATGCCCTTTCCCCTCAACTTCTTCCTGCCTGGCCGCATGCAGCGGCAGTACATGGAACGGCTGCAGCTGCTGAGTGGGGAACACAGGCCTGAGGACGAGGAAGAGTTGGAGAAGGAGGTAGCTCTGAGACAGGGGGTTGTTGTAGGAGATGAGCCCTAACGATGATGGCCAGGAAAGGGAGTGCCTGGAGGGGAGTTGGCACTGTTCCCGCAGCTGCAAGCCTACCCGTGTCGTCCTACAGCTCTACCGAGAGGCTCGGGAGTGTCTGACCCTGCTCTCTCAGCGCCTGGGATCTCAGAAGTTCTTCTTTGGAGATGCGTGAGTCTGACTCCAAGGGGGTCAATGGGTGGCTTGGAAGAAGATGGGGGTTCAGGTGGAGCGGCTGGGGCTGGGGCTGGGGCTGGCCCAGGCTCTGGATAGGAGGTCCTTGGGACAGATACTGGCCCTGGTGACAGTGGGGCTGTGTGTGGGGCTGGAGCCTTCTCAGAGGTACAAAAGCATACAGTGGAGGGCAGCCGGGCACAGGAGGGGCCTGAAGGGCTGTGGGGCACTCAATGTGCCCTTTATGCAGCCCTGGGATAGAGTCCTATTCAGGGCCAGGCTGGCGCCACCTGGGAACTCTCCCCATACCAGGTCTAGAATTGTGTGTCCTGTCCTTCCCTGGTGGCCGCCTGCTGCCCAGGGCCCACCTCCCGGGGCTGACTCTTCCTCCAGCTCCATCTTCACCCCTCTGTGCCAGTGGTTCTCCTCCACCTCACCCTTCTCTCTCTGCCCAGCCCTGCCTCCTTGGACGCCTTTGTCTTTAGCTACTTGGCCCTGCTCCTGCAGGCCAAGCTGCCCAGTGGGAAGCTGCAGGCCCACCTGCGGGGGCTGCACAACCTCTGTGCCTACTGTACCCACATCCTCAGCCTCTACTTCCCCTGGGATGGAGGTAAGGGGCAGATGGGCGGGGCAGCCCTGGGGAGAGTGGGCAGGGATCCAGGAACAAGTTCCCCAACCCACCTTCCTTCCTTGACCCTCAGCTGAGGTACCACCCCCACGCCAGACACCAGCAGGCCCAGAGACTGAGGAAGAGCCGTATGGGCGCCGGAACCAGATCCTATCTGTGCTGGCAGGGCTGGCAGCCATGGTGGGCTATGCCTTGCTCAGCGGCATAGTCTCCATCCAGCGGGCAACGCCTGCTCGGGCCCCAGGCTCCCGGGCCCTGGGCATGGCTGAGGAGGATGAAGAGGAATGATTGGTCCTCACGCTCCCAGGACTGGTTTTTCTACTCTCATGCATTCCAGAGGCCCCTGTGCCTCCTCAGTGTTGGTACAGACAGAAATGGGGTGCTGCCCCCAGAATAAAGCCACTCACACTACTGAGCTCAAACATTTTCTCCTTTAAGGGCTGCCATTTTTCCTGGCTGGTGCCACAGGAGCCATCTGGGTCCTGAGCCTACCCACTGGTGCTGTAGGGCTTCTGCCCTGAGGCTGACGGTGCTGCCCCACGGCCCGGTTCTGCATCTCCAGGAAACACACACAGTCCCCAGTTTTGGGCCCAGCTTTCCTAGCCTCTCCTTTTCCTTACCCTCGCCCCCATCCTGCGCCTGTACAGACAGTGAGCTCACCCCAGGCCTGGGCCCGGGCCCAGTTTCCACAACAGGCAACACACAGTGCATGCTGACATCAGCATGGGGCTCGCGGGACACTTGGGCTTTCTGATCTTGTTCGAGGGGCCTCCAGCCCCTGGCACCACCTAGAGGGGAAAGTGAGTCACCCAAACCACTACTCCTGGGCTTACGTCACTGTACGCTCACCCTGGCCCCGCTGTGCCTCTAGCCACAGACAGTGTATGCGCTGACTCCGTCCCTTTAATGCCCAGGCTGAGCCCAGTGCCTCCTTGGGTATCTGCTCCATCACTGGCGACGCCACACGTAGGTGTGAATGGAGTAGCCAGGTGAGATCGTCTCCAGGAAGCCCACAGCAGGATCCTCGATGGTAAGAGGCACATCCTTAGAGGAGCTAGAAGCAGGGAGGAGAAGCTGAGAGTGTGATCCTGCCAAGGCCCCCACCCTGTCTTCAGCCACTTCCCAGACCCCGCCTTGCCCTCACCGGTTCAGCACGACCACAACGGCAGAGCCGTCAGGATGCATCAGTGCTACTGTGTCCAGGTCGTTCTTCTCACTGGCAACCAGCCCCACTCTCTGGGAGCCCTCAGGAATGAACTTGCTGAATGTGGGAAACAGACATGGTCAGGGACTCTGGCCCTCGGGGTACCTCCCGTGAAACCCTCATCTAAGAAGTCACCCACCCACCTACCTACCCCATAAGTCGTGCAGAAGCTCTGCCCTAGTTGTCTAGGCCCAGAGCCATGCTGCTGGCCGCTGACCCTGCCTTTCCGCATCGCAGCCCCAGCCTCAGGCATTGGGGTTGTCTGTTGCTACCTACTCACTTCCTGCCTCCATGGTGCAAGAAGGGATGGGTGGCCTCTCCCAAGGTTCCCACCCTAAACACCTTCCTGCTCCCGCATGGTGTAGAGTGATGTAGGAGATGATAGGCCTGGTATGGAATGAAGGTGCCCGCCCTCCACTCACCTGAAGTGGCCAAGGTGGTAGAACATAGGCTGTTTGTAAAACGTGTCCTTGGTGATGTCTACAATGATGGGGCTGTCGACAAAGTTACGCACCCAGTTGGGTCCTCCTTCGGGGTTCAGGGCGAGGTTCCAGTCAGTCCAGCCGACCACGTGGTACAGGAGGTTCTAGACAAAGAGACAAAAGGCTCAACACTGGGGGTCCCCAGAGAGGGTAGGTAAGGGTCACATGAGGGAGAGGGGGCTGAGGGTAGCTCAGCCCTGTGACGAGTGCACTGTCTCCTTAATAGCTAAGGAGGGGTCGTGAAGACTGAGGCATCTCAAGGGGAGCTGAGGCAGGTGCAAGTGCCTCAGTAGTTGCAAAGGGGCAGTGAGGTGTGCAGACCTGTGAAGGAAAGGCAAGACAGAAAATCATGGTTCCCCAGAATTGCCCAAAGGGACAGGCTAGCTGGGGAGAAGGTGGAGAGGAAGGTCTTCTGTCCGTCTTTGGTGAGACCAGGAAGGGGTCTGAGGTCTGCTCTGCAGGAAGCGGGACTGGGGTGGCTTACCGTGATGATGCTGTGGCTGTACTGCATCCCTCGATCCCAAGAGCCTAGCCGCACACTCTGCTCCCAGAACTTGGAGCCCACACAGGCCTCTGAGGCAAAGAGCATGGTGTTGGGGAACAGGCGGTGTGTCTCCCCTAGGGTGGCTTTGGCTGGAGCCAGGAAGTCCAGGTACCAATGTACAGCAATGCCATCAACATACTGAGCTGCCTCTGGGTCTGTCAGTACCTGCAAAGGAAGAGCCACTGACCCTGGACCCTGCACACAGCTTTCTGGAACTTCTAGTTCCTCTTCTAGGAATCCTGAAGAGGAGTGGTGGGAAGAATGCAACTAGAGAGGTTATGGGAGGGATGTCTTTTGTTTTTGAAACAGGACTCACTCTGTCTCTTAGGCTGGAGTACAGTGGCGCAATCACAGCTAACTGCAGCCTTGACTTCCTAGGCTCAATCAGTCCTCCTGCCTTAGCCTCTTGAGTAGCTGGGACTACCAGGGTACCACACCCAGCTAATTTGTGTGTGTGTGTGTGTGTGTGTGTGTGTGTATATATATACATAGTAGAGATGGGGTTTCACCATGTTTCCCAGGCTGGTCTTGAACTCCTTGGGTTCAAGTGATCTGCCCACCTTGGCCTCCCAAAGTGCTGGGATTACAGATGTGAGCCACCACCCCTGTCCTAGAGAGGTTTAACGTGACAACTGTGGGGATCCGTGGGGCCCTGGAGGTCCAGAGAGATGGTGCTCTAGGAATCCATAATTGAGCTGAGAAATCTCCCTGAGTTTGGGAGCCAGTCATTTGGATGCTAGATTTGGAGGTCACTGGGGCACCATGGAGGTCCGGGCCTTACCACCTGCGCCCAGTGGGGCAGCAGCAAGCGTTGGTCATCCAGCATAAGTAGACGGACATTGCGGTGAGTACTGTTGGCAAGGGTAGGACCTAGGTCACGGGCAATGAAGTCTCGCTGATGTTCGGGGGTGAAGCCCAGGCACTGGAAGGGGTATCCACTGAACAGCCCAGCAGAAGGCTCATTTTCAGCTGTCACTGCCCAGAACTGTAACTTGTGCTCAGCATAGGCATCCAGAAACCTGGCACGAGAAAGGTCATGAATGATTCGGCCAAGAAGGTGGATCAGATCGGCTGGGTATGGTGGCTCACACCTGTACTCCCAGCACTTTAGGAGGCCAAGGCCAAGGTGGATCACTTGAGGTCAGGAGTTCGAGAACAACCTGACCAACCTGGCAAAACCGGTCTCTACCAAAAACACAAAAATTAGCTGAGCATGGTGGCGGGCACCTATAATCCCAGCTACTTGGGAGGCTGAGGCAGGAGAATCACTTGAACTCAGGAGGCTGAGGTTGCAGCGAGCCAAGATAGCACCACTGCACTCCAGCCTGGGTGACGGAGTGACAGAGTGAGACTCCTTCTCAAAAAAAAAAAAAAGAACGTATACCAGACAACTGGAGAACAGGAAGAAGCCTGGTGGAGTTGGCAAGATTGACAGGCCCAAGTCTGCAAGCCCAAGAAGGTAGAAAGGTAAGCTGAGGAGAGGCAGATCTGGAGGTGAAACCAGGTTGAGGGTTGGGACATAGATCAGGGTGGCCAAAGGGGAGGCCACTTCGGACCCCTCAGCCTTGCCAACCCCTTACTTCACAAAGTATCTGGCCCAGGTCTGGTGGTAGATGCTTCCGGGCTGACCCTTGAGTGACCCCTTCCCATTCACTGCTCCATTGGTCTTGAGCCAAGTAGGTGATGTCCAGGGGCTGGCAAAGAGTGAGATGGGACGATGGGACAGCTGCAGGGCTCGGTGAATCAGGGGTATCTAGAGCCAAAGGCAGTGAAGAGAGAAGCACCCAGAGTTGGAACACATACTAGCCCAACTAGTATATCAGGTTCAGCCATCAGCCCCCACCCTCCCACCCCGGGACAAAACAACTGGGCACAAAATATCTCTACGGGCAGGCCTCCCCTTCAGCGTCTCGAACCCCAGTCATCAAGGCCATCAGGGCCAGAGGCAGCCGGAAAGCTCACCTTGAGCCTGGTATCTTCCTCTGGAAGGCTGAAGTTGTACAACTGAAAATCGTCAGGGGTGTCTGCATAGGTGTAGACGCGGATGGAGAAGTCACAGCTGGCCATGGGTACCCGGATGATGTTATATTCGATTCCTAGAGAAAAAGATGACCAAGAAATGGTAGTCTAAGTCAATAGAAGAGTATGGGACTCTGTTTATCCCTTGCCAGTGCTAATAGTCCCTGAGACCAAAAGGAACTTGGGCTTGAGGGTTGGAACCTGCGGAGGCTGGCACCCGGGTGAAGCACAGGCCTTTCTGAGCCTGAGTCCATAAGCACTTAACAGATGACTGGTGGGGAACCAAATGTCAGGGATGGGCTGAAGTCAGGGTCTAAAGGTCAAAGAAAAGTGTGGGCCAGGTGTGGTGGCTCACGCCTGTAATCCCAGCACTTTGAGAGGCCGAGGTGGGCGGATTACAAGGTCAGGAGTTTGTGATCAGCCTGGCCAGCAGAGTGGAACCCCATCTCTATGAAAAATACAACAAATTAGCCAGGCATGTTGGCGGGTGCCTGTAATGCCAGTTACTCAGGAGGCTGATGCAGGAGAATTGTTTGAACTCAGGAGGCAGAAGTTGCTGTGAGCCGAGATCAGGCCATTGCATTCCAGCCTGAGCAACAGTGTGAGACTCCATCTCCCCCCAACACACACAAAAAAGAGAGAAATGTTGGCCGGGCCTCGTGGCTCACACCTGTAATCCCAGCACTTTGAGAGGCCGAGGTGGATGGATCATTTGAGGTCAGGAGTTCAAGCCTAGCCTGACCAACACAGTGAAACCCTGTTTCTACTAAAAATAGAAAAATTAGCCAGGTAGTGGCGGGGTGCGCCTGTAATCCTAGCTACTTGGGAGGCTAAGGCAGGAGAATCACCATAGCCTGGGAGACAGAGGTTGCTGTGGCATGATCTAAGCCACTGCACTCCAGTCTGGGCATCAGAGTGAGATTCTGTGTCAAAAAAGAAAAAGAAAAAAAAATGTCACTGGTACTATGTCACCTCATCCCCTTCCTCCTCACCTTCTTCAGAGAAGTATGATTTAAGTAGCAAATTCTGGGCAGGGAGTGACAGGGCAAGGATGTTGAGAGCAGCAGCATCTGTCATGGCCCCTCCAAATCCCTTTATTTTCTGGAACTTCTGTTCTGGCTGCAGGGTCAGCAGCAGGCCTGAGGACATCCACAGGGAATAAGGCCATCAGTGCCCAGGGAGAAATTCCGTGGTGATCACTGACACTGTTTACCTCTAGGAGGACCCAGCCTGGCCCGGGGGTGAGGGCTGTAGTGGTTACCTGTGCCCGTGCGATTAGCCTGGATGGTTCCCGTACTCAGTTCCATCCGACGCCCACTGCGTGTGCTCTCATAGCGGCTGAAGGTACCCAGGGCAGGAAAGGTCAGGGGGTCAACAGAGTCACAGTACGTGGCATTGCAGACACAGACCACCGAACTATAGCCGAAGCTTTTAGGGATGCAGGGACGGGCACCTGGGAGGGAGGGAGCACAAGCGGGCATGAGGTCTGATGAAGACGTGGGGACAAACACAGCTGCTAGGTGAGACTGAGCACGGTTTCAAATATCCTCAGCCCAAAGCTGCTCTCAGTCACTCAAAAGGACTTATTGAGCACCTACTCAAAGTCTACCACCAGTTTACTAGAAGGCTGCCAAAGGACTATAAGGCAGAAGGGAGCCTCTGTGTGCTACCTTCCCACCGCCTTGACTCACTTACCTGATGCCCACGACACTGCCTGAAGTAGAAGCAATCCTGTGAGGCTGGCGGCCATGATGCTTATCCTACCTGAGGGCTTGGGACATTCCTGAAGACAGAATGAGGAGCGGCTGAGAAGCAAGCCCCTCTACCTCTCAACTGCTCTCCTGGGCAGGGCTTGGCTGCTTAAGGGTGCCCATGGCCTAGTCTCCCACATTCATTAGGACAAGACCCACAGACACCTGGGTGCAGCCCTCCCTGCAACCCCTCTGGTGACAGCTCTCTGCCCGTCCCAAATCAGGAGGCTCCCCACCACTCTTCCCACCCATTTCAACTTCGACCCCTCCCTCCACCTGTTTCTTGCTCAAAGAGCCACGATGACCCTGCATTCAAAGAGAGCCTGTCATTCACTGAATTCCAGTGCCAGGATTCCAGAAGCTGTGTGAGGAGGCCGATTGGGAGCTCTTGCTCTTACCTCTCTCGAAAGACGTGAAAACTCCATCACCTGAGGGTCACTGGATGAGGAAAAGACCGCAGGCGTTCCAGAGTCTCTGAAGGATAGAGGATCCACTAAACAAAACAAGGATGCAGGTACCTACCTTAGCTTATAAGCTCTAGGTTAGCGCTGCAAGTAATTCCGGCTTCCCTAAGTGACGGGTCATGTGATGACTGGGAGAGTCACATGACACAGGAAGTGAGGCAATTGCAGCCATATATGTAAAGGGCAACTGGCTCCCTCCAGGCTGTTGCAGATTACAGACACTCTATAAAACTCTGGAGGGCATGTGTGAGTGACAACTTTAGGAAGAGTCTAGTAACACCGATTTGGCTGGAGAATGTGGTAGAGACTCCTAAATCCCAGAGGATGGGAACCACAGCAGGCACACTGTTTTTGATAAAAATGTCGAAAGGTACAAATAAAGCTGATATAACAGTAATAAAAATTCGGCCGGGCGCCGTGGCTCAGACCTGTAATTCCAACATTTTGGGAGGCCAAGGCGACGGATCACGAGGTTAAGAGATCGAGACCATCCTGGCCAACACAGTGAAATCTCTTCTCTACTAAAATACAAAAATTTAGCTGGGCATGGTGGTGTGCATCTGTAGTCCCAGATACTCGGAAGGCTGAGGCAGGAGAATTGCTTGAACCCGAGAGGCGAAGGTTGCAGTGAGCCAAGATCGCGCGCTGCACTCCAGCCTGGCGCCTGGCAACAGAATGAGACTCTGTTTCAAAAAAAATAAAAATCACTATGCAATATGCCGAAGCTACCGAGATATTGAAGACAGTCTTTGCCTTATAGAGGTGTGTGAGGCATGGAAGTCAGACACACAGATATTTACAGATAAAGACAGAAACGGTAACAAGTGTACATGGAGAGCTCTCCGAGATGGGGAGGGACCATTCGTGGGTAGGGAATTATCCAGGATGGCAACACACAGGAAAAAGTGAGGGTGATTATTAGCCAGTAAAGTGTAGGGCTCAAGGATGGTCGGATGCCGGCAGTGGGATGGCAGGACTGGAGGGAGGGAGAGGTCCGCACGGCTCCTCTGCGGCATCCCTTGATTCATCATCAGATGCAGATTGTAATAACTCATCTTCCTTCCTCACATGACAGGGAGGCCTGTAAAGTAGTTCAGAGACCGGAAAGTGTTGTATAAAGCCGTATTGTCAGTGAACACAAGGAGGAAGTTCTCTGTGCTGTTGCCTCATGAACCACATCAAATGAGATTTAGCGGGAGTGGCACACACAGTCACGACCTGACTAACCGAAGCGCTCAGACTATTTCCTTGCCTGGCAAATGGAGGCAGTGCCACAACCTCAAAGAGAGGTTACTGCAGTCCGTGAGGTAAATGCAGTGCCTGGCCACCGTGGTAGGTGCCCGGGAGCTATTTGTCTGCTATTCTATCCTTTTTTTTTTTTTTTTTTTTTTGAGACAGAGTATTGCTCTGTCGCCAGGCTGGAGTTCAGTGGAGTGATCTTAGCTCACTGCAACCTCCAGCTCCCAGGTTCGAGTGATTCTCCTGCCTCAGCTTCCCGAGTAGCTGGGACTACAGGCCTATGCTATCATACCTGGGCTCATTTTTGTATTTTTAGTAGAGATGGGGTTTTGCTATGTTGGCCAGGCTGATCTTGAACTCTGGACCTCAGGGGATCTGCCCACCTTGGCATCCGAAAGTGCTAGGATTACAGGGGTGAACCAGGACACCAGCCATCTTTTTTGTTCTTTAAATTATCTCAGTGAAGTCTTTCCAGATACACTCCAAGCAAAATTGACCATTTTTTCCTCTAGTTTCCTCCAGTAATTTTTTAAAATTTTATTTTGGAGATGGAGTCTCATTCTGCTGTGCAGGCTGGAGTGCACTCCAGAGCACGCAGTGGCACGATCTTGTCTAACTCCAGCCCCGACCTCCCTGGTTCAAGCAATTCTCCTGCCTCAGCCTCCTGACTAACTGGGATTATAGGTGTCCACCACCATGCCCAGGTATTTTTTGTATTTTTAGTAGAGATGGGGTTTCACCATGTTGGCCAGGCTGGTCTCAAACTCCTGACCTCAGGTGATCCACCTGCCTCAGCCTCTCAAGGTGCTGGGATTACAGGCATGAGACACCACACCCAGTCTCTCCGGTAATTAAGTACAGTCTCAGTGAGACTCAAGGTTGGCATCCTGGCTACACCATTTACTGGATGTTTGACCTTCATTAAATCAATCACTCTAAGCCTCTGTTTCATCTATTAAAGGGGGGTGCTAACTCCTACCTCATAGAATGGTTGTGAGGTTTGAGTGTGATAAGTGTCTCTAGTATAACGCCAGGCACTAAACATTGCAACATATTAGGCCTATGTTCCTGGAGTTCCCTGAAGGAATGTCTCACTCATTCTAAATAGCCTCATATCCTCATAGACAGCCTGGTACAGAGGTGGGTGTCAAGTTGTAGAGCTGAACTAGGTGCTTCACTGTGTCCGTCTCCACCCCTTCCAGACTTCCTTTTTTTTTTTTTTTTTTTTTTTTTGAGATGTAGTCTCACCCTGTCACTCAGTCGGGAGTGCAGAGTGCAGTGGCCAATCTCAGCTCACTGCAACCTCCACCTCCCGGGTTCAAGCAACTCTCCTGCCTCAGCCTCCGAAGTAGGTGGGACTACAGGTGCGCCCTGCCACGCCCAACTAATTTTTGTATTTTTAGTAGAGATGGAGTTTCACCATGTTAGCCAGGCTGGTCTCAACCTCCTGACCTCAGGTGATTCACATGCTTTGGCCTCCCAACATGTTGGGATTACAGGTGTGAGCCACTGCACTCAGCCTGATTTCCTGCTTTTCTGGGAAACGTTGCACAGGACTTGTTCTGAGTAGGGGAGGTAGTATCTCTTACGTTACTTCCCTCAAGTTCATTCATCTCACTCACAGATATTTCCTGAGCATGTTCCACATTTGCCTCTCCTGCTCTAGTGAGTTTAGAAGTCCAACCGTCTCCTTCGTCTTTCCCTCTGCATACAGCCAGTGAGCCTCTTCTTTTCTGGCCAGATACTGAGCAATTTTTTTTCAGACAGGGTCTCGGTATGTTGCCCAGCCTGGAGTGCAGTGGCTAGATTTCGGCTTAGTGCAACCTCTGCCTCTCAGGCTCAAGCAATCCTCCCACCTCAGCCACCAGAGTAGCTGGGACTACAGGCGCACACACCATACCTGGCTAATTTCTGTATTTTTCGTAGAGACAGGGTCTTGCTGTGTTGCACAGGTTGGTCTCAAACTCCTAAACTCCTTCAAAAAGTGCTGGTATTACAGGCATGAGCCCTCCCCCTCCCCCTCCCCATCCCCCTTCCCCTTTTTCTGAGATGGAGTCTCACTCTGTTGCCCAGGCTGGAGTGCAGTGGCATGATCTCAGTTCACTACAACCTCTGCCTCCTGGGTTCAAGCGATTCTCCTGCTTCCATCTCCCGAGTAGCTGGGACTACAAGCGCATGCCACCACACCTGGATAATTTGTTGTATTTTTAGTAGAGACAGGGTTTCACTATGTTGGCCAGAATGGTCTTGATCTCCTGACCTCATGATCCGCCTGCCTCAGCCTCCCAAAGTTCTGGGATTACAGGCATGAGCCACCGTGCCCGGACATTTTTTTTTTTTTTTGAGATGGCATCTCGAACTGTCGCCTGGGCTGGTGTACAATGGCACAATCTCGGCTTGCTGCTGCAACCTCGCCCTCCCAGTTTCAAGTGATTCTCTTGTCTCAGCCTCCCAAGTAGGTAGGATTACAGGTGCCCGCTGCCACATCAGCTATTTTTTTCTATTTTTAGTAGAGATGGTGTTTCACTATGTTTGCCAGGCTGGTCTCGAACTCCTGACCTTGTGATCCACTCGCCTCAGCCTCCTAAAGTGCTGTGATTACAGGCATAAGCTACCGTGCCCGGCTAATTTTGTATATATATTTTTTAATCTGTTGAGTGTCTTCTAATAATTTTGTATTTTTAGTAGAGATGTGGGGGTTCCTCCACATTGGTCAGGCTGGTCTTGAACTCCCGACCTTAGGTGATCTGCCCGCCTCGGGCTCCCAAACTGCTGAGATTACAGGCATGAGCCACCGCACCTGGCCTTGTTTTTTGAGATGGAGTTTTGCTCTGTTGCCCAGGCTGGCGTGCCGTGGCATGATCTTGGCTTACTGCAACCTCCTCCTCCTGGGTTCAAGCGATTCTTCTGCCTCAGCCTCCCAAGTAGCTGGGATTACAGGCTCCTGCAACCACACCTGGCTAATTTTTATATTTTTTAGCAGAAGTTGGAGGTTTCAGGCCGGGTGCGGTGGCTCAAGCCTGTAATCCCAGCACTTTGGGAGGCCGAGGCGGGTGGATCACAAGGTCGAGAGATCGAGACCATCCTGGCCAACATGGTGAAACCCCGTCTCTACTAAAAATACAAAAAATTAGCTGGGCATGGTGGCACGTGCCTGTAATCCCAGCTACTCAGGAGGCTGAGGCAGGAGAATTGCCTGAGCCCAGGAGGCGGAGGTTGCGGTGAGCCGAGATCGCGCCATTGCACTCCAGCCTGGGTAACAAGAGCGAAACTCCGTCTCAAAAAAAAAAAAAAAAAAAAAAAAAGAAGTTGGAGGTTTCTCTATGTTGGTCAGGTTGGTCTCGAACTCTTGACCTCAGGTGATCCACCCACCTTGGCTTCCCAAAGTGCTGGGATTATAGGCATGAGCCACCGCACCCGGCCTCATCCACTAAATTCTCAAAGTGTCTCCTAATCATTGTCTTTATTTATTTTTTTATTTATTTTTATTTATTTATTTATTTTTTTTGAGACGGAGTTTCGCTCTTGTTACCCAGGCTGGAGTGCAATGGCGCGATCTTGGCTCACCGCAACCTCCGCCTCCTGGGTTCAGGCAATTCTCCTGCCTCAGCCTCCTGAGTAGCTGGGATTATAGGCACGCACCACCATGCCCAGCTAATTTTTTTTTTTTTTTTGTATTTTTAGTAGAGACGGGGTTTCACCATGTTGACCAGGTTGGTCTTGATCTCTCGACCTCGTGATCCACCCGCCTCGGCCTCCCAAAGTGCTGGGATTACAGGCTTGAGCCACCGCGCCCGGCCTCATTGTCTTTATTAAAGATGCTCCACACGGATCACAAGGTCAGGAGTTCGAGACCAGGCTAGCCCATATGGTGAAACCCCGTTTCTACTAAAAAATACAAAAATTAGCTGGGTGTGATGGCACGTGCCTGTTGTCCCAGCTACTCAGCTGGCTGAGGCAGAAGAATCACTTGAACCCGGGAGGTGGAGGTTGCAGTGAGCCAGGATCATGCCAGGGCACTCCATCCTGGGCCATAGAACCAAGACTATCTCAAAAAAAAAAGAAAAAAAGAAAAAATATATATATACGCCCTACAAATTTCCAAAATGCCCCTAGGGGGTGCCTGAGAGCCACTGCCCTAGGTGCCTCTCCTCAGACACCTAGGCCTCACTGCAGGTGGCCACTAGGGGCATACTAGGTGGCCACAATCGCATTCCTGTCCCCTAACTTGAAAAAGAGTTAGCTAAGGCCTGGTGCAGTGGCTCAAGCCTGTAACCCCATTTTTTTTTTTTTTTTTTTTTTTTTTTGAGACACCGAGTCTCTCTCTGAAGCCCAGGCTGGAGTGCAATAGCAGGATCTCAGCTCACTGCAACCTCTGCCTCCCAGATTCAAGTGATTCTTGTGCCTCGGCCTCCCAAGTAGCTGGGATTACAGGCCCCTGGCACCATGCCTGGCTAATTTTTGTATTTTTAGTAAAGATGAGGTTTCACCATATTGGCCACGCTGGTCTCAAATTCTTGACCTCAGGCGATCCACTCGCCTTGGCCTCCCAAAGTGCTATGATTACAGGTGTGAGCCACTGTGCCTGGCCAACCCCATCATTTTAAGAAGCTGAGGTAAGAGGATCCCTTGAGGCCAGGAGTTCAAGACCAGCCTGACCAACACAGGAAGACTCTGTCTTTACAAATTTTTTTCTTGGTAGACATGGGGTTGCCCACGTTGGTCTCAAATTCCTTGACTCAAGCAATCTGCCCCTCTTGGCCTCCCAAAGTGCTGGGATTACAGGCATGAACCACCTCTCCACTACCCACATGCTTGAATCACCTCCTCCAACAGGCTACACTCCATCTTGCCACTTCTGTCCCCTCTGCCTTGAACCCTTTCTTATTCACACTGTCCTGTAAAAAAGCCTGTCTTGTACTAAAGCCTCAGCCTTAGTACTACTGTCATCAGAACCATTTTTCTGACACCCCTGACTGGATGTTAGGCGCCCCTACTATGCACTCTCCAATTCACACATAAAACAAATATTAATTGGATATTTTCCATGTGCCCATCACTGTTCTCAATTCTGGGATACAGCAAGGAATAGGATGATAAAGGGGGTTATGAAATTTATGTTGTAGTGTGGGTGGTAGACAAAACCAAAAACAAACACACAAACAAAAACGGATTTCAGATGATAGCTAAGAAGGAAAACAAAGTGGGCCAGGCACAGTGGCTCACGCCTGTAATCCCAGCACTTTGGGAGGCCAAGGTGACAGATTACTTGAGGTCAGGAGTTCAAGATCAGCCTGGACAACATGGTGAAACCCTATCTCTAGTAAAAATACAAAAATCAGCTAGGCCTGGTGGCCTATATTCCCTGCTACTCAGGAGGCTGAGGCAGAATGGCTTCACATCACTGCAGTCCAGACTAGGTGACTAGGTGACAGAGCAAGACTCCATCTCACAAAAAAAAAAAAAAAAAAAGAAAGAAAGAAAAGGAAGGAAAGAAGGAAAACAAAGAAATAGTGAAAGCATGGAGAGTGTTGGAGCAGTGTGAGTGAGATGGATAGTGGTAAAATGTGAGCTTGAAGAAGTTAGAGGCCAGATTGTGTACGGTCTTGGTGGCCACAGAAAAGAATGTGAATTTTGTTCTAAGACAGAAATTCACTGTAGAGTTTGCTGCAGGGGAAATGACAATATCAGATGTGTATTTTTATTATTTTATTTATTTATTTTTGAGACAGTCTTGCTCTGCTGCCCAGGCTGGAGTGCAGTGGCACTGTGATCTTGGCTCACTGCAACTTCCACTTGCCGGGTTCAAGTGATTCTCCTGCCTCAGCCTCCCAGGTAGCTGTGATTAAAGGCACACATCACCAAGCCCAACTAATTTTTGTATTTTTAGTAGAGACGGGGTTTTACCATGCTGGCCATGGCTGGTCTTGAACTCCTGACCTCAAGTGATCCATTCGCCTCAGCCTCCCAAAGCGCTGGGATTATAAGCTCGAGCCACCATTGCCCAGCCCAGATATGTGTATATATATGTATATATATGTATATACATGTATATATATGTATATATATATGTATATACATATATATACATATATATACACACACACACATATATACACACATATATATGTATACATATATATACACACATATATATAATTACTTTTTTTTTTTTTTGAGACGGAGTTTCGCTCTTGTTACCCAGGCTGGAGTGCAATGGCGCGATCTCGGCTCACCGCAACCTCCGCTTCCCGGGTTCAGGCAATTCTCCTGCCTCAGCCTCCTGAGTAGCTGGGACTACAGGCATGTGCCACCATGCCCAGCTAATTTTTTGTATTTTTAGTAGAGACGGGGTTTCACCATGTTGACCAGGATGGTCTCGATCTCTCGACTCGTGATCCACCCGCCTCGGCCTCCTAAAGTGCTGGGATTACAGGCTTGAGCCACCGCGCCCGGCCCAGATGTGTATTTTTAAAAGATCACTTCAGCTGCTGAGTAGAAATCAGACTGTAGGAGGCAAATGTAGAGGGAGACTAGCGTTCAATTACAGCCCCTTCTTTGCAGCCCCACTCTTCCCCACAGCTTAGCCTAGTTAAGGCTTATTCTTTCAGAATTCAGCCTGAATGTCTCTTTTAAGAACCTCATCCCTTGGCCAGGCATGGTGGCTCACGCCTGTAATCCCAGTACTTTGGGAGGCCCAGGCAGGTAGGTCACGAGGTCAGTTCAAGACCAGACTGGCCAACATGGTGAAATCGTGTCCCTACTAAAAAATGCAAAAATTAGCTGGGCATAGTGGCTCGTGCCACCTGTAATCCTAGCTACTTGGGAGGCGAGGTAGAAGAATTGCTTGAACCTGGACCCGGGGCGGGGGGGGGAGGTTGCAGTGAGCCGAGATCGCACCACCGCACTCCAGCCTGTGCTGCAGAGTGAGACTCCATCTCAAAAAAAAAAAAAGTGCTGGGATTACAGGCTTGAGCCACCGCGCCCGGCCATCTTTGTAACTTTCTTTCTTCCCTGTGTTTCAGACAGTGTCTCTCTCTATCCTCCAGGCTGGTCTCGAACTCCTGGGCTCAAGCGATCCTCCCGCCTCAGCCTCCCGAGTAGCTCCTTTGTCACTCTTATCACTGTTGTGATTAATTGTACTAATGGCTTAATGGCAGTCATACCGCCCAGCTCATCAAAGGCAGTGGCCGGCCAATCGTCAGCGGGCAGGGTAGGGACCAGTCCGTCCTGGCTCCCATCTGCAGCCCCAGTGCGCATCCCGACTCCGGAGCTAGTCGCCGCGCTCCGGGAACGTTTGCCACATGTCTGAAGAATGCATGAATTATATAACCTTCTTTCCACTCAACCCCTCAAAAAGCAAGTGGATCCAAGTACTTTAAACCTTTTTTTTTTTTTTTTTTTTTTAGACGGAGTTTCACTCTTGTTGCCCAGGCTGGAGTGGAATGGCGTGATCTTGGCTCACCGCAATATCCGCCTCCCGGGTTCAAGCAATTCTACCTCTGCCTCCCTAGTAGCTGGGGATTACAGGCATGCGCCACCGTGCCCGGTTAATTTTTTGTATTTTTAGTGGAGACGGGGTTTCTCCATGTTTTTGGCCAGGCTGGTCTCGAACTCCTTACCTCGGGTGATCGGCCCGCTTCAGCCTCCCAAAGTGCTGGAATTACAGGCGTGAGCCACCGCGCCCGGCCGAATTTGAAGACTTTATAATCTCTTCTTCATTAGTAAAATTTGACTATCCTTACCAGTAAAAATAATAATGGTGGTGAAAAAGGTTAAGTGCGAACGCAGGGAGGGCACAGCTAAAATCCAATGGGCGAAATACTTACACCGCCTACCGTCGGGGAAGAGAAACAGCAGCCCCAATGGGAGGCAAAAAGAAATCCCACCGCAGCCGCCACAGGCGCGTGGGCGGGACTGGAGCCTGGGGCCCAGCGCAGTAGCTGCGGAAGCCAGGATGCAGCCGCACCAGCCTCAGCCGCGAGGAAAGCAGCCACGGGGAGGCAGGGCGGGGCCTCACTCCGAAGGGAACGGCCACTCGCCCAGAGGCGGGACTCAGAGGCCCTCCTCAAGTCTCATTGGTCTAACTGGAGACGGACAACTCTCGCTGACCAGCCATAGCCAAGATGGGGCGCTAGCGTTGTTTGGAAGGGGAGTGGGCGCCGAATACTGAAATCACGCATGCGTCTACGCGTTTTCGCGCCAACACACCCATAGTGGATGGGGGCAATTGAATTCCCACAGTGAGTCCAGCCCACCGAAGCTCAGCAGAATTCTTAAGAGAGAGGCTCGGGTTAGGGAACGTCCTGTGCGCAGAAGCTGCCCCGTGGGAATCCCAACGTCCACCGCCTCCTACTTAATGTTTCGTGCTGGCCGCGCGCCAGCCCTTCCTGATGCTGGGTTGTTATGATGGTGAATTATTCACGAAGTCTTGCAGCCTGACGCCATCTCTGGGCAGTGCTCCTCCCTCCTCCCTGGCTTCCTTGGAGGGTACCACGTTGCTCCTACAAGCTTAGGGTTCTGAAGCTGTTTACAAGGCCCCACTCTGTCGCTTCAGTGTTTTAACGAACAGTGGGTTACAGAGAACCCACTGTTAATCTCAGTGGCATGGGCAAGTTCCTGATCTTGGGGCCTTACATTCTATGGGATGACACAAACATATAAACAAAAAATAGTTGTAGATAGTGATACATGCTCAAAACATGGCTATGTGGTCAGGCGCAGTAACTCACACCTGTAATTCCAGCACTTTGGGAGGCCGAGGCAGGCAGATCACTTGAGGTCAGGAATTCGAGCCCAGCCTGCCCAACATGGTGAAACCCCGTCTCTACTAAAAATACAAAACTTAGCCTGGTGGGCATGGTGGCAGGCGCCTGTATGCCTAGCTACTTGGAAAGCTGAGGCAGGAGAATCGCTTGAACCCGGGAGGCAGAAGGTTACAGTGAGCCCAGATTGCACCACTGCATTCCAGCCTGGGTGGCAGAGCTAGACCCTGTCTCAAAATAAAACAAAAACAAAAACATGGCTATGTGATAGAATGACTAAAACAGGTATTGGGTGCTCACTGAAATGGTGAGAATGGAGCTAAAACCTGAAATTAGGTGACAGCACCGGCTATAGGAGCCAAGGGTTTCGGGCTTGGAAAAGAGCAGATGCAAACATCCTTGTGCTGTGAGACAATTTGGCTGGAACAGAAGGTGTGTCATAGTCTCTGAGAGCTTGGAGATGATTTTTTTTTTTTTTTTTTTTTTTAAAGACGGAGTTTCACCGTGTTGGTCAGGCTGGTCTTGAACTCCCGACCTCAGGTGATCTGCCTGCCTTGGCCTCCAAAGTGCTTGGATTAAAAGCGTGAGCCACCACGCCCGGCTGGAGATAATTCCACACCCAGCTAATTTTTGTATTTTTAGTAGAGACGGGGTTTTGTTTTGTTTTTTGTTGTTTTTTTTTTGAGACAGAGTTTTGCTCTTGTTACCCAGGCTGGAGTGCAATGGTGCGATCTCAGCTCACCGCAACCTCCGCCTCCTGGGTTCAGGCAATTCTCCTGCCTCAGCCTCCTGAGTAGCTGGGATTACAGGCACGCGCCACCATGTCCAGCTAATTTTTTTTAGATTTTTAGTAGAGACGGGGTTTCACCGTGTTGACCAGGATGGTCTCGATCTGTCGACCTCGTGATCCACCCGCCTCGGCCTCCCAAAGTGCTGGGATTACAGGCTTGAGCCACCGCGCCCGGCAATTTTTTTTTTTTTAATTGAAAAAAAAAATAAAGACGGGGTTTCACCATGTTGGTCAGGCTGGTCTTGAACTCCCAACCTCAGGTGATCCGCCTGTCTTGGCCTCCAAAGTGCTTGGATTACAGGTGTGAGCCACCGCGCCCGGCCGAGACGGGGTTTTGTTATATTGGCCAGGCTGGTCTCAAACTCTCAGCTGATCTGTCCATCCACCTCGGCCTCCCAAAGTGCTGGGATTACAGGCATGAGCCAGTGTCCTTAAACTCCTGACTTCGTGATCCACCTGCCTTGGCCTCCCAAAGTGGTGGGATTACAGGCGTGAGCCACCATGCCTGGCTAATTTTTTTTTTTTTTTTTTATAGACAGGGTCTGTGTTGCCAAGGCTGGTCTTGAATTCCCAGACTCAAATGATCCTCTTGCCTCGGCCTCCCAAAGTGCTGGGATTATAGGCGTGAGCCACGGTACCCAGACCTGAAAGAGTTTTCTTTTTTTTTTTTTTTTTTTTTTTTGAGACGGAGTTTTGCTCTTGTTACCCAGGCTGGAGTGCAATGGCGCGATCTCGGCGATCTCGGCTCACCGCAACCTCCGCCTCCTGGGCTCAGGCAATTCTCCTGCCTCAGCCTCCTGAGTAGCTGGGATTACAGGCACGCGCCACCATGCCCAGCTAATTTTTTGTATTTTTAGTAGAGACGGGGTTTCACCATGTTGACCAGGATGGTCTCGATCTCACGACCTTGTGATCCACCCGCCTTGGCCTCCCAAAGTGCTGGGATTACAGGCTTGAGCCACCGCGCCCGGCCGAGTTTTCTTAAATATGAGAGACACTAGAACAAATTTCATTGCTGATAAAGAATGATCCAGAAAAGAAGGGGAAAAGTGAAATTTATTGAAGGCTTAATCATGTCAAGAGCTTTACAAACATTCTACCTTCACAATGTTTAATGGATCAGGCAGTCAGGGTTACTATAGCTTGCCCGAGGTCATGCAGCTAGAGGTGGCAGAGCTGAGAGGCCACCTAGATTTTTCAGACTCTTCGTGCCTGCCTTACCACCCTTTGCATAGGCACACATCTGCCCCTACTTAAATACCTGGGCCATGCCTTTGCCCTGACCATAGTGCCCTTGCAAATCAGAAAGAGCCACTCTCGTGCTTCGGGGACAGGCGTTTGTTTTCCTCCTCCAGGGCTATAAGAGGGGCATCTCCCCGACAGTCTGAATACCCATGCAGCAAAGGACAGAAGCTCTCCCAGTCCAGAGCAGCAGAGGCAAAGCAGCAGGAGACCCCAGAGGCAGGAGGGAAAGGGACACTTTGGGGAGTATACAGCAGGTTTCTTTTTGTGCCAGCCAGTGCAAGAGGATGCTGGGGGCTTTTGGTCCACCAGCTGGTGCCTGTGGCCCTAGCATTCATCTGGATCTGTTCAGTGCGACAAGCAGCCCAGGTCAGAGCCCAGTCTCCTGGCTGCCCCCATTGAGGCTGAGGCTTTGGGGGCGGGTACCACGCTCCAGCCTTCGGGCAGACAGGAGACGCCTCAGGGAAGAGCCAGAGCTCAGATCTCCGCAGCTGCGAAGGTGAAGGCTCTCTCGTCCAGGCCGGCCCCACGGGCTCCGGGGCACCTGGACAGGGACACAAGACAGGGCATCATCGATAAGGCCCAACCCGAAGCTCCACGCCTTCCCAGACATCTTTCCTGCATCCCTGAATTTCTACCTGCTTATGTCCATGAGCTGCAGTCCCACTGGGGTCTGGGGCTTTCCTGGACATCTGGAGAAAACGAGTGACCAGGCCCCGACCTGGCCAGCTGCCCTTCAGGTCTCCAAGGGAGTGGGCAGGTGCAGGGCCGGAGGGCAGGGGAACTTTTTGGAAGGTGGGCACAGGGCGCCGTTTCTCGGCTGAGCGGGCACGTAGCAACTTGGGGGAAGGGCAGCGGGCTAGGCGGAAGAGGCAGGCTTCAGAGCAGAGCCCTGCAGAGACACAGAGATAAGAGAATGGTATTGTGGGGTGGAGAGAGGGCCGGGCAGCCATGCCCAATCCCTACCCCTGGGGTGCAAACCGCATGCCTGACCTGTATCTGCAGAGGAAACAGAAGCAGCTTCTTCCTCAAGCACTTTGGTATAAAGGTCCCTGAATTCAGCTGGGGAGAAGTGAGAAAGGAAGTGGGAGTGCTCTGTGGACAGGCCCACCCTCCGGTGTGAACTCAAGCCCAGAGGAGCTTTTGCAGCTCCCATGCTCCATCCCCAATCAAAGGGCCAGCGTCTCTGTTCATGATTGTACCAACTAGATGGTACAATCCACCAAGACAGGGACTGCAGTGGTGGTGTTCAGCACCTGGTGTGCAGTGCTCAGCGTTCCGCAGTACTTCTGTTTTTTTTTGAGACAGAGTCTCACTCTGTGGCCAGGCTGGAATGCAGTGGTGTGCTCTCGGCTCACTGACCTCCACCTCCCAGGTTCAAGTGATTCTCCTGCCTTGGCCTCCCTAGTAGCTGGGATTACATGTGTGCACCACCATGCCCAGCTAGTTTTGAATTTTTAGTAAGACAGGGTTTTACCCTGTTGGCCAGGCTGGTCTGGAACTCCTGACCTCAGATGATCCATTGGCCTCAGCCTCCCAAAGTGCTGGGATTACAGGTGTGCACCCCCAGCCACTAACCCCTTTCTCAGCATCTTTGAGTACAATGCCTGTAGCTGAATTACTATATTTATGCTTTATGCTTTTTTTTTTTTTTTTTTTTTTTTGAGATGGAGTCTGTCTCTGTTGCTCAGGCTGGAGCGCAGTGGCACGATCTTGGCTCACTGGAACCTCCACCTTCCAAGTTCAAGCGGTTCTCCTGCTTTAGCCTCTCTTAGTAGCTGGGATTACAGGTGTGCACCACCACACCCAGCTAACTTTTGTATTTTTAGTAGAGATGGGGTTTTACCATGTTAGCCAGGCTGGTCTCAAACTCCTGACCTCTGGTGATCCACCCACCCCAGTCTCCCACGTGCTGGGATTACAGGTGCGAGCCACCTTGCCCAGCCTGAAGTACTATTATTATACATGTTTTACAAGGTGGGGGAGGCAGGTAAGTGGCCCACGCTGAGACCGCTGGAATTGGTTTCAAAAAACAAATCCTTTTGGGAGGCTGAGATGGGTGGATCACTTGAGATCAGGAGTTCAAGACTAGCCTGGCCAACATGGTGAAACCCTATCTCTAATGAAAAATACAAAAATTAGGCCGGTCGTGGTGGCTCAAGCCTGTAATCCCAGCACTTTGGGAGGCCGAGGCGGGTGGATCACGAGGTTGAGAGATTGAGACCATCGTGGTCAACATGGTGAAACCCCGTCTCTACTAAAAATACAAAAAATTAGCTGGGCCTGGTGGCACATGCCTGTAATCCCAGCTACTCAGGAG